CACATCTGATTTATCATATTTCATGGCTCGGACAACTTTTAAAATATATATGCTAATTTTTGCATAAAAAATTAGAAGAGCAAAAGCTTCAACAAATTCCATCCGAATATTGGCTACAGAAGCTACTTTGATGACCCAACTTGGATGCAGTGTATTAATGTATGTGTGAATCACATTTATTTTGGGGGGGGGGGAAACTAAATTTCAAAATAAATCAAATAAAAAACACAACTATTAGAACTATTCAATGTTGCTTCTGATATGGCAAGTTAGCAAAGACAAATTTGTGCTACTAATTGATCTTTATTTTGAAAACTATTGGGTTCTCTAGGTGCTGTTCAAGTGTTAACAGTTTCATGCACACATGGATAACACAAATGGCAAAAAGTCACAAGATAATATCGCAGCACATATGCACATGGCTCCACATTTTCAGATTAAGTCATTTTCAGATCATGCTGTAGACTCAAAGTCAAGAATAACATTATTTTCAAGCTACATAATTTGCCTCAAACTGGTAATGAATTCTCAAAATTGCTATCAATCTGCAAAGAATTTTGTTACATACTAAATATCCAAGAACACAGATTAGGTTGGGGCAGAGGATCCAAACCTACACTGAACGCCATGTCTTAGGAGGTCCAGTTTTTCAAACATAGTTTAATCTGTATTCACATATTAACAATGGAAAAAATTTAAATATTATATATAAATATAATATACAAATATTATACACAAGTATATTTTTTTAACTTTATAATTTTAACATTAAATAAACAATCCTGGAAATTTAAGTTATAATGATTCAATATACTATTCATTTATTCTAAAGAACAGATAAAAAATCTGCATAAATGAATGAGTTTATTATTTAATGAGTGTAATGTAATTAATAATGAGTATAATAAAGACATGCTTTATATAACACTTATTTAGCTTTTTAATATGATACATAAACTTTATTATTAATTAATAATTCATTAAACAACTGTTAATAATAAATTGGTACTTTCTTTTATAGCAGGCTTGGTGAGATAGAGAAGACAGTGGAGAACAATTCGAGTTAAAGAAAGCACGATTTACTGCTGAATGTAATTAAAGAGCTATGAAAATAAAAGGGACCAAGCAGTGATCGATGTAAAAGTCAGGGTCCCCCACCCCCAGCTCATGAAATTTGTTGCTACTAAATTAACAGTTTTTCATTGCGAAAAATTTCAAGTGGCACTAACGAAAAAAGATGCTACAATATTTTCCAAAGGAAAAAAATGGAAGTACTTGTAATAAACTGCTCAGGTGTGTATACAAGCAGAAACTGCAATTAATGCAAAAACTGGAAGGATCATGTAAAACTGTATCTCTTCATAAGGGAGAAGACCACAATTTCACATGATCAACCATTTTTCTGCATTTATTTCTGGAAAAATTTTAAAGTATTTTAGAGCATTTTCAGAGCCAATAATTAAAATTAAAAACTAAAATTTATTCCTGAAACACTCTGCTCCAGCAGTTCTGATAAAAATATCAACACAAACTTACAAAATGTAAAATGAGTAAATAAAACAGCTGTAATAGTCAGAAATTGGCAAATAATATATTAAAAAAAAAAAAAAAAAAAAAAAAAAAAAAAAACTATTGCTTGAACCTTATCTGAAATACATTTAAAAAAAAGCACCAAAACAAAACAATATTACAATGGCAGCACATGACAGATCAGCATTCTATGAAGGCAAAAGAAGTTTTTGATAAAAAGAGAAATATCAGCAAGCAACACAAAGCTTAAAAATATCTGTTATAGACTAATTTAAGCCCAGATAACAATTAGGGAAAAAAAAAATTTGCATTCAAAAGTGCAAGCTGTTATTTTAACCTTATGTGAAATTTCTCAAATAATTACTTAACAGTAGTATTACAGCAATCAGAACAATTATAAAATTTATACAAAACTAAAATTTACAATAAGAGTGATAAAAACAATAAATAAATAGATTATATATGTGATAAACTGTGTAAATATTGAATAAATTGTTTGTGTTTATGAAAGAGGGAGTAGGGTGTCAGAAAGTGCTTTAAAATTTTTTTCTTCTTATACCAAGACTGTTATAAAGTACCGATGAATTACCAGCCAGTTAAGAAGTAATTACCAAGTTATTACAATATTTACATGTTAATTATTTGAAATAACTAATGTGTGGTAAAGTACAGGATGTTTTCTTCTTGATGAAGTTGGACCCTCTGAGACAATTTTATCAATTCTGAGAGATATCAGCTCACATCTTACCACATATACTCATCCCATAATATGTATGCAGTCTATTCTTCAGGATTAGTCAGTCTAAAAGGTTAATTAAAACATTTTAATTTACTACTATATATTTAGTTCATTTTTCATAACATTTAGGAATACCTATATCTTAATACAACTAAGTAAATATTAGTAATGCTTTGTTATACACATATCAGTAGTATAAATTGCTGTCATATAAACCCACTTAAAACATTATCCGTAAGTTATTTCAGGTACACATTCAATGGAAGACAGTTTATATTATTCAACATGCCAGCTGAAATTAACACATGAAATACAAAGAACAGTAAATTCTTTAATCTTATATTTGTTACATAGTTTCAGTTTACATTAAAAATGCATATATTTTCTTTTCAAATTAACACTGCAACATAGTTAAAACATACAACAATTTTATCTGAAATAATTACGCTGCAGACTTTCATATACGGAATGGGACTAGTATGAATACTGTTACTAGAATATATAAGGGGTGACAATTCTTCTGTTCAACAGTGCTTTGAATATGAGTATAACATGCATCTTATTCAGGGAAGACCATGTTATGAAGCCGATAACTTAAATTCATTATACTTAAAATTTCATACAGACTATGTGGTACATATACATATGACAATGTTGTTACCATAATGTTTTCCATTAAAATTTAACTTTTTTTTTTTTTTTACTTTGCATGATCAAGTAGCATATATTTCTCTGACCACATACAATAAATAAACTATCAAATTAAGTATCAGCACCAGAATAATTTTGTATGCTAGTACAAAATACAATTAAATAACTAGGAACAGTACAAAAATTTATCTTGCTTATTACAGTGAAGTAAATGAAAAAATGTAGAAAATATGAATTTAAACTATTAAAAAAGAAACAGAACTCTGGAGAAAACTGTTCGTTACATAAAAGGAACTTGCATTAATATCATTATTTATTATATACACAATCCCACAATGTAATGACTTTTCAATAGATATTATTTTTTAAAAGTAATATTCTAAAGAGAGGGATAACAGAACAGCAACATTTTCAAAGAACAGCTCATTTACAGGATTGTTAAAACTGTATCAGTATATCATTCAAAATAAAACTAATTAAAATTACATTGGTTTGAAAAACATGTATCATTAATACCATTATTTATTATAATACACAATCACACAATGAAATAACTTCTAATCGGTGCTATTTTTGAAAGGTAGTAATATATTTTCTGCCCCCGAATTACATTTTGGGTTATGCAGATCTTGAACTGAAACTTAATTATCAACCCTTATAATTTCAAAATGTGTTTTTAAAAAAAGTTACCTAAATTAACTAACTACTTTTGTATAAAGATACTTAATGAAAATTTTTATGAAATATATTAAAAATATGTATACATTTTTTGAGTAGAAAATTATATTTGACAGTTAATTATGAAATCTATTATACATATACAATTTTATTGTAGGGATGTTACACATATAATAATACAACTGCCATTAAAGATTCAGATTAAAAAAAAAAAGACAAAGCTTAAACATATTACATCATTTGCAACACTGTTTCAAAACCATTAATACTCCTGAAAGTTCTAATAAAAGTTCAAAAATCAATTTTGATCAAATAACTTTTCACTAATTACACAAGATATATATATATATTTTATTTTTTGCTAACATTTTTAGGAGAAAAAAATGTTTTTAAGAGACTATAATAAATGCTAATAATTATCTTTTTAAAATAAAAGATAAACTATTATGTTTAACTTCAGACGAACAAGCTGAAAAATTTACGGCACTTAATATAATTCTCACTGAGTCAACCGGCTGCACAAAGAGTTATTTAATTTCCATTTTCACTATTAACGAGACTATGCCCTAAACATAAATAATGTGCACAAGCATCTAAACTAAATTTTCGACAGTAACAATACACATATAATAACTTTAACTATACAAATGCTATACCAATAAGTTCCTTTTTATTACAACTTTGACCTAAGTGTATTCACAAAATATAATGACTTAAATATTTAACTACAGGAAAATAAAACAAAGCTAACATAAGAAAACTCAAAAACAAAATAATACATCTATACACACTTAATTATATAGTTTTTAACTTAATGGAAGGTCTTTCTAATTTTACATATATGCTATCTACAATTCAAACACAATAATAATAATATACCTTTTCTCAAATTTCAACTGCTCAAATTTAAGAAAAAAGTAAAAATTAATGCTATTCCCCACATCTTATAATTCAGTTTTAAAAATCATTAAAAAACAGTTTTGATGCATTGATAATTATGACATCAAAATGAAATTTAAGTTAAAAACTGATCTGCAAATAAATAAAATAGGGTATACATTATTAGACATATAAAAATAACAATTCAATAATCTCTACAAAATTTTAACAATAACAGGGAATGCATAAAATTAATTTTTTTTGAAATTGTATACTTAATAACAAAATTTATATGCAAATATGGAAAGTCAATAAATAAACTGGCATATACATATTAACAACCTTTCAACATGATGAGCAAATTATTAATAAAAACTAAGAAAGCACAAAATTGTACATTATGCTTTTGAAATAAAACTTTTTCAGAGCAGTTCAGGTTCACAGGTATCCAGAGGTATAAATGATATAAAATCAATTGCATTGTAGAAAATATCTGGCGAAATACACATATTTTCATCTTTTGTAACTCGCGCCATACATATTAAATAGCATAGCTATTTCTAACCTATCAATCAACACCTGAAATACAAAATATAGAGTGATTACAAAATTTGAATAATTTATTAAAGCTATAACATTTATTCATTACAACAGAAAGAGAATTATAAGTAGGGATGTCCAGATAGTAAGTTTCTCTGCAGCTTTTTGCAGAAAGTAAACATAATTTCATTGGAGGATAAATGATATGTAATAACAACTGTTCACCTACTTTTGAACATAATCCAAAGATATCTACCATACAGCAGAACCAACTTTTGGATCACTTTGTTCGAAAATTCCGCTACATGGCACTTGAACTAATATTTTATAGTTACTTTACTTTTGAGTCATTTTGAAAATGTTGACAAAACAAGAATTTCTTGAGGTGCAAGAAAAGTTAGAATTACAAGAGTGAGATTGGGACTAAATGGAAAATGACTATACACTTCAGAATTTCTTTAAAAGACCTGTTTTGTGACAAATCATACAAAGCTGAATATGATCACTTTTGGTATTGAGCACACTACATAGTTTACTTTGAAGAGTGGCCAAGTGTGCAACTTATCGGATCATTCAGAAAGTTTTGTGGTTTTTCAAATTGAAGTATGTTTACCTCTAATTATTTTGTTACTGCTGTTAAGGAGCAACCCCCCCCATTACATTGATTAGTGATGCCAAGTGCTGTACCAATAGGTTAGGTCCTGAATCCTGGAGAAGGCATAGATGTTTCCAAGAGTATAGTGTCTGTGCAGAAAAGGGGGGCACTCAAAATACACTTAGCTGAAAGTCATCATGAGAACTTGGTTGTAGGGAAAGAGGGGACCTTAATATTTGCTACATTATTTCTTTAAAAACTGGCCACTCATGTATAATGATTTTATTGAGTACAGCTAGCGCAATTTCATACAAAATATTGAAAATTTACAGCTAGACATCTCATGATTTTAATATATGTTTATCTAAAAGAATCAAATTACAAAGCAGAAAACAATATTAAGATATGAGTTTATTGCTTTTAAATTGCTTAGTTTATTATTCAATAACCTTACAGAATAAATTTAAAAGTATCTTACGCTTTACTGAATAACAAATACTGGCGCAAGGAAGATAAAAGCATTTTATTTCCAGTTGCAGCAACACACTGCTTTCATAGAACTGAGTTTGATAACTAAAATTGAAATATCTTACATTTTTCCAAATGGCAACAGTCTTTTGTGCTGGAGGAAAAAATACTTTATTTCAAACAGTATTGCCACTGATCACTTTCAAATCATTCAGCTTATTAATAAAAAATTCATAAACATTTTACAAAATATGAATTAAAAAAAAATTCAAAATTAAAAAATTTGGGCTTCCATGTGCACATGTTCAGGTGGGGGACTACGTTATTCAAAATTTGACAACTGTAGGTACCAACATTTTTTCACAATGAAAAGAACATAAACACATACATGCTGATTCTTCATCATTTAATTTCTTTAAAAATAATACAGAGCAATAATATTTGGTAGCAACAATTTGAAAAGTGATATGCCATTTATAGTGAACCAACACAAAATCCCTTTTGGGCTAATAATATTTTTTCAATTAATTACAATTTTTAATGTTTTCACAATTTATCTTTATGACTGAATTTATGCGTTTGAACAAACACCAATAGCAAAACAAAAATCTGGTAACAACACCAAACACCAATAGCAAAACAAAAATCTGGTAACAATTTTTAATTTGTATGTGGAAATATATGGTAAATAATTAATGTAAGTCCTGAACAAATGCAGAATATTTTCAATTATTTGTACACACAAGTGCCAAGCAATATTTATCTATTAAGTATGATTGTTAGTTGTTCTAAACCTTCATATTCTTTGATAATTAATTTAATAAAAATGCTCTATAATTTCACATGATTATTCAAATCTAAAATACAATAAAAATAAAGCCTTCACAGAGGTTTATCCAAGAACAAAGCAAATTAATTAATATTAAAAATTAGACCTTGAAGTGAAGTTCAAAATCCAGTCATTTGAATTAAATTAAACTCATATTTCATAAATAATGGTACAACATTATTGCTACATATTTATATTAAAAAAAGTATTATAAAAATAATTTGAAAACAAACCTTCAACTAACAGACATCTTCTTTTTTTGGTTGTAGGTAGTAAACTGTCTCATACCGAGTTGTTGGTTCACAGATGGGTAAGGAGACGGTGTACTCCAATCATGAGTACCAACTGAAGCCCGATAATGTTTAGTTGAAGTTTTATTAAAAACTGGAAGTAACTCATTTGCTTCATTTGACAGGGCCTAAAAATATTTAAATGTATTAAAAGAACATACCTAATGAGTTAATTAAGTGGAATATGATGGGGAAAAAAACTGAAGCTGAAAAAAGCTGAAAAGACAGCTGAAATTGAGAAATGAGTTCTTTATAGCTAGATTTCATATTTTTCTTTTTTAATATTTAACAACACATGCAAAATATTTTATTATTGATGCTAAACAAAATAAATACTGTTTAAGATATTTGAGCATTAGCAAATTTTTAACCAATAATAGTCATAAATATTCAATAGCATATTCAACCAAGTGGTAAATATTCAATAGCAGTTATTGAAATAACATTATCTAAAGGGCTAATGAACAGCGTTTTCAGCTGTAAATGTTGAAACATGCAGGATATTTGTTAAGTCCTGCTTCATAGTAGGTTAAGCCCACTCCCAGGCCTTTGAAAAGATTGCCATGAAAATGACTGGAAAAAGTTGTTGAGAAAGCAACTGATGCAAGATCCTGCTAACCTGGCATTAACCCAGTGATTCTCAGCCTTTTTTTGTCGCAGCACACTTTTAACGATTTCAAAATTTGGTGGCAGACAAAGAAAAAGATAACTTTAAAAGTGGTTTATTTACCTATAATACACTGTGTCAAATAGTTCATGAAAATAATTTTGAATGTAAAATAAAATAATATGTACTACAAAAACAGCAGTACGTTTATTAAAGAATTAATTACAAGTTAATAATACGAATACTTTTAATGAGAAATCTGAGCTTGAGTTTCAACATTTGATAATTTCATTTATATTTGGTCATAAAAATGACAATGCTACTCTCATATTGTCTTTTACATTTAACAGTCTCGATCTTGTTTTCATTTTTATGTTGGTTAATACTGAAAAACCGAATTCACACAAATAAGATGCAGAAAACTGTAATAATATTTTTAAAGCTTTTTTGGCCATCATGGGATAATTGCATCTAATGTTAATCCAAAATGAATTAATTGATTCTTCCGAATATTTTAAAATTAAATGTCGACTATTAGAAAGAGAAATTAGTTCTTCCTCTTTGTTCAAAGTTAATTAAAATATAGAAGTCTTTGGTACCAAAATCAGCTTGGATACTGCAATTGATGCACTTATTAAAGTCTTAAAAAACAAATTTTGCCAATTCTGATGTGTACTGTATACAAGGATTAAGCCCATTATAATTTTTACTACATACATTTCTAAAATTTAGGCACACTTTTAAGAATTTGGCAGCACACAAAAGTGCCACAACACAGTGGTTGAGAATCACTGCATTAATCATTTGAGAGAAGTTTGAAAGAACAGAACCCTCTTTCTTTAGTTAGGTAATTAACAGCTGCAAGTTAAGCTACTTGCTATAAATCACAATATTAAATGGGATATTTGCTCAATACAAATACACTAGTTATGATTAGGTAAGGAAAAATCACAAAAATGACGATTACTCAACAAGTTATATGTAGAATTTAATGAAACTGACTCACAGTATACAACACATAGTAAGGTATAAAATAATATGAAAAGAAATTACTAGACAAGTATGGTGTTACAGAGATTAGCATATGTATAAAATGAACAAATTGGATGTGCCAGTTTGGCATAGGAAAATTACCTTCAATATAGGCTATAATCTCCTTTAGAAGCAATACAACGATACATACAACGATGTGCGATGCCGTCAATTACACAGTCTATTAGTTCCACAGGAAGTGAGAGCCATTGCTGTTGCAAAGCAGTTGCAAGGGTCTGAAGAAGAGGACTGAGAGCAGTTATATGTCTTCCTAAAGATACCAAACCTGGTTGATAGGATTCAGGTCCAGTAATTGAGGTTGTCACTCCATGCACTGAATTGTTTGCTGCTGAAAATAACTACCCATGATGTAGGCCCTGTGTGGTCTAGTGTTGTCGTCCTGTCATAGGAAATTATCACCTATTGCTCTGGCATAAGGGCACATGTAAACATCAAGGATCACATCTTTGTAGGTCTGAGCATTTATTGGTTCCACATGGAGACCTATGCGTCTACCTAAAAAATACCACCCCAAATACAGACACTGCTTTCTCCATATGCATCTCTTTCACAGATGTTTGATGACAATGGATTCCAGGTTCTCTCCAAATCAAATAATGCCTAATATTGCTTTGGAGGCTAAGACTGGACTCATACACATAGAGAACAGCCCTCCGATGATCAGCTGTCCAGTAGACATGTTGACCTGGGCTGGTCACCTCGTGTACTTTGTGAAGCCTTCTATGCATAGCTGACATCGACACCAACCTTCCAGTGGCTCCAGCAAGGGAGGATCTGAGTTGAGGTTTTATTCCTTCATGTGCATAACAACAAACATCTGTCACCAGCGCTTGTCGTAGCTGTCATGAGTCTGGCTGAACCTCCTGAATGCGAGTCTGGGGTTAGAAACTCTTGTCAAAATCTATGAACCACAGAAGGACTTACATTTAGCCATCCGGCCACTTCTGTCTGACTTTGTCCTGCCTCTAGTCTTCCAATAGCTCTCAATCATAGTTCTTTGGGTAAATGATGCCTGGGGTCATTGTTACAAACTGGCTATCTCAGATTTCTTATCTCAGTATCACAGCAAAATTTGCAGACTGCCTCTGAAACATGTAATTTTATGCTCCTCACAGATGTCATATTTTGATTGCAGCACCAGTAATTTGCATAATGCAGTTTTACTCAAAAATTCTTTTTGAGTAAATTTAAATCTTATATAGATTGATCAAGTTATCCTTATGTGTGCTATTTTCCCTTAATTTTTGGAAATAAGTGTAAATGCATTGCCACTGCTCATGCATTTTCAACATGCCCATTTTTTTAGGCCAGGATCCTGTGACTTGAAAATACTGCTTTGTAGAAAATAGGTCTCAAATTTTAATCTTTTTTTTCAACAGTAGGGGAAAATACAACATATCTATATTTCTTTAAAAAAATTAAATTGGCTTATCGAGGATTAATTAGGGTTATTTAAAACTAAGGCAAAGATCTTACAAATATATTGTGATATCATGCCTATCCATTACTGGTTCAAAATCACACAGTTTGGTGACAGTTTTTGTTTTACAGAATTGGTCAGCAGGAAAGGTCAGAAACCCCCCCCCCCCCCCCTCCCCCCCCCCCCCCCCCCCCCCCCCCCCCCCCCCCGCCCCCCCCCCCCCCCCCCACCCCCCCCTCCCACCCCCCCCCCCCCCCCCCCCCCCCCCCCAAGTATAAAAAAAAAAAAAAAAAAAAAATTTGCTGCTCGTCTCGACTCACTCGCTCGCACGAACGCACGCACACACACACACACACACACACACACACACAAAAAAAAAAAAAAAAAAAAAAAAAAAAAAAAAAAAAAAAGGTTTTTTCTTTTATTTTACGAATTTTTTCTTTGAGAAGGAAGAGTTCTTTCATGAATCTTTTTAAACATACAACAGGATAAATGAAAAAGAAAATTATTTCACCTCTCATATGCAACTTGATTTTGACTCAAGTTGTGGTTCAAACAGAAAAACAAAACAGTTGTAACGATTTTTTAAATATCAACATGAAATATGGTTCTAATTAAGTTGGAAATTTAGAATATGTTTTTCAAAAATGATTCTTAACTAAAACAAACAGAAATTAAATTTTCCTAATTACAAAGGTTGCTAGAGCAACCCATTTATACATGATTTAAATACATTCTATAAGGGGAAAAAAAAAAAAAAAAAAAAAAAAAAAAAAAAAAAAAAAACCACCAAGAAATAGTCCAATGGAGACAAAAATTGCTGGATATGAAAATTATATACAGAATAGAAAATGATTAAAATTTCTGGTCAATTGAATGATTTATTTCAGAGTTACATAGTTACAAAGTAACAAGCTCAATAAGGTGTTGACCCTGGATGCAAGCTGCCACACTTCCGTAGCATAAACTGATAAAGCTCCCGGATGGTCTCTTGTGATATTTCTTGTCGAATTTGCTTCAATTGTTGGGCTAGGTCATCAACATTCCCTGGTAGATGCAGTCGCCTGTGTGACGTGCTTCCCATCACATCCCAGACATGCTGGATGGGAGAGAAATCTGGTGATCTGGCTGGTCAAGGAAGTGTGACAAGCTGTAAGACAGTTCATAGCAACACGTGGCGTATGTGGTCTGGCATTATTTTGCTGAAAAATAAGGGCAGGGTACTGCAAAAGGACTGGTAGCAAAACAGGTCTCAGAATATCATTGACGTACCGCTGTGCTGTAAGTGTGCCTCTAATGGCGACTAAAGGAGTTCAGCTATCAAGGGAAATAGCACCCCCAAAACTGTTGAGGGCCTGTGTGACGTGCAATAGTGAAAGCAGGATCGGCATGCTGCTCTGGGCGTCTCCAAAGATATCTTCGATGATTGTCAAAACACAGTTGGAAGCCAGACTCGTCGTTAAAGACTATGCATCCCCAGTCAGCATCATTCCAGTCTGATCGAGCTAAGCACCACTGTAATATGGCTTGACAGTGTGCAGACGTGAATGGCAGGTGGGCGTAACGGTTGGTATGAGTATAGATCTTGCTCTATCAGCCATCTGTGAATGGTCATGGTGAAAAGTCGTGCGTGTGTCGCATATCTGATGGTTGATAGCGACGAATCAGGTGATGTGATAGCTGATCTGACGATCACTGTCCTCCCGATCTGTTGGGGTCCTATGTCAACTGCTACCATCATGATGCTGAAATCTGCCATTGACCACCCATTCTTGCCAACAATTTCTAATCGCTGCATCACTTTGATTCATATGACGAGGGACTCTCGGATTTGCACAACCTCCTTCTTTCAATCCAATGGCACGACCTCGTTTCAAACTCTGACAGTTGCTCATTATGAGCTCGAATCCTGCAGCAAGGCATTTTTTCAGTCGTTGAAAGATATCCTAAATTGTAATGCAACAGAAATGTTAACAGTTCAAGAACAGCTCCTTATATACATCTGCTGGATGCGCAGTTCCGATGCACTGGAGATCGCAATATTCATTCATTGGACACAAAATTTTAATCATTTGCATAGTTGGTTAAAACATGTATGCATATAAAATTTCAAAGCAATCGGATGATTCCTTCTTGGTGCGTCGATTTTGTTTGTTAGAGAGTGTATATTTACATAGAAGACCCAAAATTTTAAAGCACAGCATAAAGAATAGCAATGAAAAGAATTAAATTTTACCTTAAGATATATTATTGCATCCGTTCCATAACCTTCGGCAGATGTTATAATTAAATCTCCTTGAAAATATCGAGCATATAATCTAGATAACGGTAATCCATACCCATATCCAGCCTTGAAAAATACATAAAAAAATTAATATTTTTCATAAAATAAGCCAGCATAGATTAATATAATATTTTTTAAAATGCATTGCAAATTTTAAAATTAGGCAGTCTTTGGTGTGCATGGATTTTGAATACAATTCAAAACAGATTTTCAAATTTTTTCAAGGGGGATTTTGATGCTAATTATTCAAACTAAAAGAGATTAATTTTCACACCAAAGACAAAAATAAATAAATTTAATGCTAATCATATTTGGCCTCATAACTATAGTTTTGACATTGATTCTATGAAATTTTCTTTTCAAAGCTTTCTTTCATTTGGTGAAATGGATTTCCTTTCACGTACATAAAAACTTATCTTTTTAAGTTAATGTCATCATTTCCAATCCAGTTCTTTTCAATATTTAATAATTATAATATCTTACTTTGTTGTTTCATTATTATTATTATTTTCCCAATTTTTAATTTTACATAGGCATTTTTATCTTCTATTTAGACACTATAAGATCCTACTGCTTATAAATTACTATTCATTACATAGCAGGTATATATAAATACATGAAAAGAAATTTCAAGTTACCTTTTTCTATGATTTCTTATACTTACCTTTTTACATGTACAAAATCTGAATAAAGACACTAATTCAAATTTTAAATGAATGATTTCATCATAAAATAAGTATTAATAGCTCAGAATCAAGAAAAGTTACTTCAATGTGTTTACTATTTTCTCTCAACATTAATATTCAAAGTACAAATTAATAAAATAAGGAAGTAATTGTATTAATTAGAATTTCATATGTCTTTAGATACTGTTTGAGAAAATCTTTTGAACATTAAGTTCTGTAAAAGTACAAATTTATACAATACAAAGTAATTTCACAGAATCTAATGCTAGACAAAGGGTCTAAGTGAGACACAATATGCAGTCCTAAATATAGTGTTTTTTGAAAGAGGAGCTTACAACCTATTTTGCTTGCTTTTAAACAAACACACATACATTTTATACACAAAAAATAGAGGGGGGGGTATAAGGAATTATCAGATGATTCAGGCCTTTTTCAAACCTATGGACTTAGGCAATATGCAGGGTCTGGAGAGACTTCATATGAGCATAAACACAATTCTCTTTCTAGTCACTGAATTTTTTGTGTTCTACAAATCCCCTCATTTACAGTTTTACCAATGTCAAACTTGATAATTCCTGGTTATGAGTAACTAACAAGTACAATTTATTATAACATTCAAAAGCACATCACAGCGACTTCTAAATTTTTTATAACTTATTACATTTCTAAAGAGAACAGTGACAGAATAGTTATATTTTTAAAGAGAATGCTGGAGAACTAAGCAGATGAAGACTGTTCCAACTGTTTCAGATAAAATACTTCAAGTGAGAAAAACAAAAAATACAAGATATGTTTTGGTTAAAGCCATGCAACATATTTTTCATGTCATATTGGTGCATTTTGCTTTATTTCTTTCCCCTCATGGGCAGTGCCTCTTTTGGCATTTATTGCACCATTTTCGGCCACCTTCACATTTGCTGAACAGATAGAGTTGCTGAAATCATTCAAACTGAAAACAAAATGACAATAAAAAAAAAGTGCATGTCAAAGGATGACTTTTGATCTTTTAATGAAAAGTTAAACAATTATATATACAAAAGTACATAAGATAAGATAAAGGCCTAAATCCAATTCCAGAACTTAAATATAGGGAACTCAATAGTTCCAACAAGTTTTTCTAACATTCAAATTATACTGCGTACTGCAGTTGGAATTCTAAAGAAAGTAAAGACTAAATTATCACTTTTTACAAGGTCACATGTCCAGAAGGGGATGCATTAGGTAATCAAATAGATGTAATGGTATCTTGTGGCAATATCAATAAATATTTCTCAAGAACGGTATAGTGATTTGCTATGAAGAATTCCACATCCCAAATATTGAAATCTATAGCAGGTGAGGAAACACAGCTGGATACAAAATGTGATGCATGAACAAAAGCTTTAAAGACAGTCATCACCAGGAAAAAAGTTCGCACCAAACTAGTGATCCTTGCTGCTGTAGAAATAAGCCAAAACAAAAAGTGTTAAGTAATATGGCTAATTACAGTAACTCTTTATTTGATTTCTTATTAAGATGCAAATTTTTGTTCATAGGTTACTATTTTAAAACATGAACTTTTTGTTACCCAATTTTTTTTAATAACTTTCCACACATTCTGAAAAACTTTAATTTCTCCCAGCTTGCCAAGATTTTGCAGATAAGTGGGAACACTCAATATACATTTGGCATAACAAAAATAAAACACAAATTGATATTCATTTACCATATATACATTCAAGAATTCATATACTCACCAGTGGAGCAGACGATGATTCTACTGATGCTGAAGGCTTCGGAGCCGTAGAATACATGTATTGAAATAAAACATCGGTAAGAGAGCGTGGTATTCCCCCACCTCTATCAGACATCTGAATAAATAAATGATTAAAGTTTTCACTAAGAAGCTAACAATGGTACAAAAAAAATTGTACTTGCAAATACAGTTGATTCACCTTAATCTATGAAATAACAAAGCGATGCAATGTAATGACTCACAAGAGAATCTCAGCTAAACTTTCGTCTAATATGTTACACCTGCTAACTTTTTTAAGCAAAAATGAAAAGATTCTTGAAAATAATTCGGAAAACAGTGCTAAGTCAATATTTTAACTTTTGCTTGAAACTAATTTGGAAACTAAATTTAATAAAATTCACATATTATTTAAATTTTGAAAAGAGTAAATTCAAAAACTTCTAACAAAGAAAGACATTTTAAAACATGACAGTAAGAAATTAAAATAATAATAATAATGTTATTTTTCTAAAAAAGCATAATTATATAATCAGTATTTTATTTATAGCATAACATTGCTATAACTGATAAAAATATAGCATAAAAACTTATAGAAAATTTGTAAAAAAATTAATTTTGCATGCAAAATCATAAAATTATCAGATATTTTTTGCTGGACCAAGAGGTTATATCATAACATTAATAATTGTAATAATAGACAACATGAATTAACTACAAATTAATATCACTATAAATTAAAGTTTTGTAATTATTAAAATTTAAAGCACTTGTACACACTATAATCCATGTAGTGTTTCTCTGTTCTTTATACACTCTGTCACAAAAATATATGCACACAGAAGGAAACAAATTATTATCATGAAACTTAACATGCATATAGTGTATGAGGTGATAAATAAATGATTACAAATTCAGAACAAAAGATCGTTTTATTAAGAAGTTATGGCATGAAAAAGGTTACAAATCAGTAAGTAGTATAGCCAACTCTGGCAGCTATACAAGCCAAAGTACAGCATGGCATCAAATAAAATATGTCATATGCAACCCCTGAAGAAGTATCTTTGCAGCTGGGCAGTTAATTCATGAATATTCTGGGATGGCCGCAGTTGCCTTCCAAGCACGTCCCAAATGTGCTCTATTCGCAAGAGGTCTGGTGATCTGATAGGCCATGGGAGTACGCCATATCCTTGAAGACATTGTTGGAAGAGTTGCACAGTATGTAGACTAGTGTTGTCTCGCTGATAAATGGGATCTGGGTGACTTAATAACATAGGCAGTATAACTGGCATTAAAATGTCATACACGTAATTGCGAGTCATCATTGTGCCTTGAAGGAAGACTAGAGGTGATTGTGTGTCCCAACAAATCACTCCTCCCATGGCCATATCTTGTGTAATCGCCATATGTTGCTCAACAACAAATGCTGGATTGGATTGCTGGCCTGGCTGCCTCCATATACATGTGTGTTGGTCATCAGCATTAAGACTGAATCGGGATTCATCGCTGAAGATCACATGCCTCCAGTCAGGCACACACTAGCTTGCCAGTGGTGTTGCCTATAATGTGGGGTCAGTAGAAGATGTCTTAATGGATGTCGGCAGCATGTACCAGTGTTGGCCAGTTGTCTCCAAATGGTTTCCTTGATACCACTGGATGCCTGGAATGTGGTAAATAGTGTCGAATTGATGTTAGTTGTTGGTGTGGAAGTGGCTGCTCTTATGATGGTTCGATTCTCACGGATATTTGTATTCCTAGGATACTCTGACTCTCCGCAATGGTCCTTCCATGATCCATTGTCGGCAACACTGAGCAACTACCATATCACCCTGACAGAGGTGGCGGCCGATACACCTGTTCGACCAACCTCCTTCTCTGAGGCCTACTCTGTGCTCCTCATCAAAGTCCAATTGGTGTTAAAATTTAAATCATTTGCGTATCACTTACTAGACTTCATACCTTACGAGTTTCGTGATTGTGGCTCAATTTCTTCTGGGTACACACATTTTTTTGTTACAGAGTGTATATCATATATTCTTAAAAATGACACAACATAGTTAAATTAAACGTATTTTTATGCAATCACAACTAGTAAATTTTTAACTCCTAGATTATAATACATATATTTTTCCTTCAAATCTTACATGTGTACCTCATAAATCACAAAAACTAATTATTTTTTAGCTTTGTTAACATACAAGTTGCCAATAAAATGGTCACATCAGATTCAATTAAATGCTAGAAACTGCATACTGACTTATATAAACAGGAAAATAATCAAATGCTATTTAATGAAAAGGGCATTTGTTATATTTTGAAGGATGATGTAGGTTTGTCCTTTGCTAGGAAATGTATGGATTGATTAATAAATAAAAGGACTTTATTCATTATGATTCCAGGATTCCTTTTTAACATGTTTGTTCTCCATGATTGTTGAGACAATGATTGCCAAAGTACAATACCCGTCGATTCTTTTTCTGCAGAAATATTCGACTGAGAAGCCATGAAGGAAATGCATTTTTTATATTACTTTAACTGTTGCACGACTTATTAACAGCTGTGATCTGGTTAGTAGTTTATTTATTTTATGCATAAATTAATTACTATTATTTTACTTAGAACTGAACTTACTTTAATGGTCAGATCTTCTTTCCCAAGTGCAACTAACACTTGAATTGGAGGAAAATTATCGGCCGAGCTCCCATAATGTTCAACGACAGCTCTCATAGCATTCTGAAAATATACGTAAAGGATCAAGAATATCACATGTCTTAGAACTGTGAGAACATTTATATTAAAATTGTTTAAATAGTTCATGGCTCTCCACTTGTCATGGTTTGATTAAATAATTACAAAAATTTACTGAAAATTTTATTTTTAAAACAATAAAATTATGAATCCTGCTACACGTAATTGGAGAACACAGTACTCAGAAAATAATTTTAGACCATTACTTACTTTAAACAGTTCAAACAGCATATGATACAGGTGTGCTGGTACATACACAACTGATATAGGGGAACCTGGATCTAGGGCTAAATTTTAAAAACAAATTTCAGAACATATTATAAAACATGAAATAATTCTGACACAAAAAACACTGGGGAAAAGCAATTTTACTGTCTTAAATCTGTCACTTGCTTTGATTATCTATATTTTAACACAAATAACACTAGGGCAGAGCAATTTTGCTGCCTTAAAACCGTCACTTGCTTTCGACCAACTTTTGGTCTCTGAATCCAAAAATAACCTTAATTTTTGTCTATCACATCAACTTTTTAAGTGATAAGATACTATGTCTCAATTATACAGTCCTTTATATACATGCATATAAAAGAAAATAAAGGGAAAACTTACCAAATACACTGTTAACAAAAAATGGTCTTTGTGATGATTGATTTTGGTTCTTTAGTTTGCTGTCATCTGTGGTGTTAATCCAATAATGGAACTTCATTCTTCTCACACATTATTTTATTTATATATATATATAAGAGGTATTAAGTAGATTACAAAATATTTACATAAGATTAGCATTAATTAAAGTCACTTGGAGAGTACACGCCTGCAGATTATCGTGTAGTCCTATTAAGACATATGGTGAGTGCACGTCTGCGATAATCGTGCAGTCACATCCGACGCTGTCCAAACCCTAACTGACTCTTCCCCCTGCGGCAATCAATCGCCAGAGGGAGTTGTATAAACTTTCCCCCCCCAAATACCAGGGGGAGGGAGACATCAGACATTACAGTCTTATTTATACGTGGGTTATAAACAAGTCTCTGCCTCTTTTTTAAATAAAATATCAGGCATTTGTTGTGAAAGAATTGCATTTTATACTTTATTCAAAGTATTATCCATTGCTAGCCACTACTTTTCCCCATCTTTCTGGCAGCATATGGATATCACATCAGAAGAATGCTTTACGTTTTGAGACTATCTACAAATCAACCCAATTTTTGGTATCTCCATATGATGTGAAGCGTTGCTCAGCAGGCCAGGAGTTATCAATTGAAACAAGTAATAATCAGAAAGGGCAACGCCTGGTAAATACAGTGGAAGGAGGAAAACTTCTCATTTGAGTGTTTCTAAGTAGGTTCCGACTGGCGCCGCAATATGTGGATGAGCATTATCCTGCAAAAGTATAATTTGTCATGTCTGGAGTAGCAGTCAGCACATTTTTCTTTGCTCAGCTTGGTCTCATCAACTGTATTTGGTAGACAGCCCCCTGTAATGGTTTCATTTGATTAGAACAACTAATAATAAATGATACCAAGTTGATCCACTACATAACACAGCATGAATTTTTTTTCCCCATGAATGATCAGATCAGCTGTCAATGTTGAGGCACGGCTAAGCAGTGCCCATGATTTCTTCTTCTTTGATTATCATAGTGGATCTATTTTTCCTCACTAGTGACTATATGATGCAAAAAAATCTTTCCTTTATGACTGGCAAGCAGAATTTCAGGTGTAAAAAAATGGTGTTCAATGTTTCTGGGATTTAGTTCACATTTAACTCAATTTCCTTCCTTTTGAATCATTTCTAATGATTTTAAATGATGTGAAATAGCTTGTTGAGTTTCACCTAATGCAAGTGCAAGTTCTACTTGCATTTAGCACAAATTCTTTTTTCAATAATGCTTCCTATTCCAAGTCTTCATATATTTTTATCCTTTCCCCAAGTTCTTTGGCTTCAACATCAAATTCACAGTTCTTAAACTTTTGAAACCACTTCTTAGAACTTCTTTTGAAACTTCTTGTTAGAACTTCTCTCATTTAAGGCAACATCCCCACATGCTTATACAAGCAATCAATGCATCTTAGCTGCAGATTTCTTCAAATTAGAGAAGTAAATCAAAGGTTCCTGCAAATGACACTCATTCAGCTCAAAACTTGACATTTTTGCATAAAAAATATATGATGGACACAGAAATCTCTAATACTTAAAAGCTATGTTGTTAGCAGATGAATAACTTTATGATATGATGTTTTACATCACACAAGTTTACACATAACTTACTGGTGGCAACATTTTTTCCAAATGGCGGAGACTTATTTGTACTCCCAATATAAGTATGACAATTTAAATTTTGTTCATACAAATAGTAAGATTTTCTTGGTGGAATCACTCATCCAGTTCATAACTGACTGTGTCAAAATGTTTTGGGAAGGTATCGAGATAATTATGCAATTAGATGCTCATTGTTGCAACCACGCATTTTAAAGCTTCCCAAAAGCTGCTGGACAATTTCGCTGTAATTCCATGCTAATGCACTTTGAAGAAAGTCTTTGATTATGTATTTGAATGCCAACCACACATTCTTTTGAGGTTTTGTCATTGTTCCGATGACGTTCATCTTTAAGGAGCTGCCAAATCAGTAGACCATCAAATACGTTGGCCTTTATTTGTAAACATCAGCCTTAAGTTGGTGAATGGTAAAACTGCCACATATACAGCAAAATGAACTGGGGCTGCACTTATGATGTGAATTAGCACAGGCAGACATAAGGAAAGGTTTCAGATTATATATAAATAAAAATTAAACACTGTTAACCTTGTATACAAACAAGAATTTTACATTGAAATGCACTTCATTATATCAGAGCAACACACAACATCTCACTACAGTATCTTAGCCATAACTGAACTAGACAAGTATGCACTTGTCACTGGTCTCCTACCACATCAGTCAGACGGTTTATGTCAGGCAATAGGACAGCAGTAGTACTTCCTATGACCCTCACTTGATGCAGTGGAGACTGGTCACATCCACATAATGTATAGAGAAAGAACTTGATGAAATAGAAGAAAACTAACTACAGTTTTGAAATCGGCATAGCTATTTTACTCTGAAACAGCTCAATCGAACTCAACAGAATTTGTGTTATAAATTGTTCCCCAGTGTTATTTTACTCCCATTAAAAAAAGATCTAATAAAATAACATTCTACCACACCACTAACAGTTAACCTTAGAAATAAAGAGCAAAATACTCATTTTGTATTAGAAAAGCCCAGTAATCCTTTTAAAAGATTACTGAAACAATATAAATGACATGGGTTCCATAAGTTTTCTGAAATACTGCATGAATAGTATATTCTACATCTCTTGAATAATGGTCCATAACATGCAACCATTTGACAGCGATGGAATTTTACTATGGACAATATGCTGAATTACATCCCACACACATTTTACAGAGTCCATATTTAGTAAACACTGGATTAATTTTTTTTGAGGATATGTATTATATAAAAATGAGCACAAATGATCTGCAAGAATAGTTTCATAGCTTTTGTGAGTCTCCAAAAGATGAATGAGATGTCCCATAGCTACCAATCTGAAAAACCAAGAGGATTTTGTATAATGCAGCAATACGACTGTAAAAGTACTCCAAACAGAGAAGTATTTAAGTTAAAGCTGCAAGAGAAAAGAAAATGAATGTATACTTTTTTGAAATGTTTCAATGGGCAAGTTCAAGATTTTGTATGCAATACTTAATAATGCATAAATGCTACATAGAGATTCTGGCTTCAGGGTTATTCTAAATATTGTGGATCCCTCGACAAGTGTTAAGAAACAACTGTTAAGAAAACAGTAGGGGTGCGAGTAAGACCAAACAATTAGATTATGAATAAAGAATCATTTTTGCCTACTGTATATGTCTCAGAAAGAGAGAAAATGTTTTATGCTCCCTTGATGATATTGAGCATCGAGGGGCCAGCCTAAGAATAGAATGTGCATTTGAAACAAGACATTTCTTTATTTGAAAGCTTGGAAGGAATGGTTAAAATTTATTTCATTGTAGGAGCTAAATGGATGCAGCAGCTTTGTAGAAAAAGACTTGATTTAGAACAAATGTCTATTTATTGTTTAAATGGTCTTTGGACTAATTCTAATTGTTACCTGATTATATAATTGGTTCGAAAAAGGTTGTAGCAGAAAGTGATTGCACCATAACAGAGCTTTTAATTAATAATTAGGTTTGAAGTTATATATGAGGATTTGGTGGAAAGAAAAAGGAGGATTTTTAGTTTTAAGCTTTTGCTTTGAGTTAGATAAGAGTTCAGCAGTATGAAGAAAAAAGGGGAAAAAGCTGGGGGGGGTACTTTCTAGATAATAACTTGTAAAATGTAAAGAGAGATAAGAGTAACATGGTGGTGAATCTTGATTATTTACGAGGCAAAGAAGAAATAACTGAAGACGCATCGGCTGTACTGAATGATGATCAGCTAGCTGCATTGACTGATTTAATAGCTGATGAAGGAGGATGGAGAGAATGAGAATGAAAAATCTTGAGAAGGAAATGCACACGATGTGTCTATCACAAAACTACACCAAATTTATGATTCCAAAAGTGATAATGAATCGAAACTCTGTTTTTGGGACTGTTAAATGAATGAAGGAAGATGTATGAGCATTCAAATTCCTTATTTAATGATTTAGAACAGTGTTTTTCAACTGCTGGTCCGCAAAATATCCAGCTATCTGCCCAAAATCCAAAGTGACATCGGCCAACAACTGAAATTAAAACAGCACCTACATTACAATAACAATAGTTTACAAGTTCAGAAAAATATGATCGATGATTTTTTTATGTGAAAAAATTGTGCCAACGGGTCGAGTTATTAATCATACTGGTTTGCGAAAACGTACTGAAGTATTTTACCAGTCCTTGGAATAAATCCAGTTGAGAAACACTGATTTAGAATATTGGCTTCTGGCAGTGACTGACAATGTGTGAATATCTAGGCATTATGTTCCACTTTTTATTAAGAGACATTTTCGGATGGATACTAGCTAGGGGTGTAGAATATCGGTTTCCAGCTGAGGATGGACAAGGATTTGGTTGGGTGTTTCTGTCTATGAAATGCAATACAAACTGATAATTTAGCACGATCGAGAAAACAGCTCCCCTTTACAAACAGTATTAAAAACTATAAGCAATTGTGTCAGAATAAGGTTACATTAATGCATCTGCAGCCTAACCCTCCGTGTATTATCCTTCAGCATCGCCAAAGTTTGTTTCAGATTCC